TTGATTGGGTGCATGTTGGACAGTTCTGTTGTAGAAGATGCTATAAGTCACTAGTGGGGAAATCACCTTAGTTGCTTCCATAGACTTGTATCAAATTACTATTTTACAAGGAAGATTTTGAAGTGGAATGGATTTTGGATTTTGGAATATATTGCATTATCTAACTTTCCATATCTGGTATAAGAGCCTGCAACCTCAAAAAAGTATGTATGCAGAGATGGACAGGCCTGCAAAAAAAGTTATCTTTGCAGAGTTAAAGAGAGTCGTCACATTTTAACTTGCCCTAAATAGCATAAATGCATTTTTCTTTATTATTTTGATTTACATGGCTCCTTAACTTACCATGTAAATCAGAGCAGATGACAAAAAACTAAATACAACAGAAAATAAACTAAAGCATTATAAGATGTCACACAAAGACAGCTCATACATTCAGGCAATTAAATAGACTTGCCTATCCTTCTGAAACATTGCCTGGGGATGAATCAAGAACTGAAGGTCTTTTTAAAAGCAGAGTCAAAGCTATCCGTGGAGAATGCTGTCCCAAATATTAGGTGTGGCAACTGAAAAAACAAGTTTTAAGTTCTAAAATATAACACTGCTTATGTGATGAAATCAAAGCCTACCAACCTGTGAGATCTTAACAGATGGGGACCAGCAATTGGAGATGGGTGGTCTTGCAAATATCCAGGTCCTGTGCCTTGAAGGACTACAAGATGAACACTAGCACCTTGATTTGCATCCAGAAGCCACCCAACAACCAAATGAGTTAGAATAGAAGCAGTGTCTCATAGCCTATAAATTGCTTGCACCAGTTTATTCTGGACTAGCTGTAGCTTCCAAATAATTTTCAAAAGTAGATACATAGGTAGAATGTACTGTAGTGGCCAAAATGTGAGTTGAGACGGCATGAGAGACCATGACAAGGGCTTCCAAATTCAGGTATAGTTGCAAAGGATTTGTGCAAAGGTCCTTCTAGACATAATTGCAACCTATTCTTTTAACAGAAACCATAAGTCTAGAAGGACTCCAGATTGTGACAGTGTGCCCCATCCAGAAGCAAAGTTAAGTTTCCAGATCGAGGTGGCTCCAATATCCACAAACATTCAGTCTTGCTTACGATGGAACCTAAGCCTGTTCTTCCCCACCCAGACCCCCAAGAAGTTCTAGATACTGAGACAGTATCATTTGGCCAGCCTAGGTTTAAAATATGTAACTGAATATAATCAGCATATTCATAATACTTAAACCCTGCCATGGATGACAGAGATT